ACCCTTTCATGTCTGTCACATGTGCTCAGGGTGAACCTGCTCTCATCTGTGAAAAGTACAGGGTGCCAGTGGTGGACCTGCCAATTCTGGTGTTCAATGGCAAATGCCAAGTGAGCTCTATGGTGCCGGGCAGTCAGCACAGGGCCCACTAGAAGACGTTGGGCCCTTAGGCCACCCTCATGAAGTCTGTTTTTGATTGGTGAGAGTCATTCACACCAGTAGCCTGCTGGAGGTCATTTTGTAGGGCTCTGGCAGTGCTCATCCTGTTCCTCCTTGCACAAAGGAGCAGATATCGGTCCTGTTGATGGGTTAAGGACCTTCTACGGCCCTGTCCAGCTCTCCTGGAGTATCTGCTTGTCTCCTGGAATCTCCTCCATGCTCTTGAGACTGTGCTGGGAGACACAGCAAACCTTCTGGCAATGGCACGTATTGATGTGCCATCCTGGAGGAGTTGGACTGCCTGTGCACCCTCTGTAGGGTCCAGGTATCACCTCATGCTACCAGTAGTGACACTGACCCTAGCCAAATGCAAAACTAGTGAAAAATAGTCAGAAAAGATGAGTAGGGGAAAAAATGTCAGTGGCCTCCACCTGTAAAACCATTCCTGTTTTGGGGGTCGTCTCATTGTTGCCCATCTAGTGCACCTGTTGTTAATTTCATTAACACCAAAACAGCTGAAACTGATGAGCAACCCCCTCTGCTACTTAACTGACCAGATCAATATCCCAGGAGTGTAACTGACTTGATGCTAGACTCTCATTAAAAAGTGTTCCATTACTTTTTTTCAGCAGTGTACTTTCCATGGCATAAATATTAGCAATGTTAGTGAGCCACAGCGAGATTGTAGGGTGGGAGTCTTGCTTCCACATCGCTGTTATACAGGCCTTTCACTGCATTCAAAAGGTGGACCAACATTAAGTTTTTGTAGGTATGTTTTGAGAGATCAGAATAATGGAGGAGGTATCTGGCTGGATCGGTGCCCATATCTAAATGAGTGAGTTGCTTGATAGTGCCACACACCTGGGACCAAAACGTCTCTAGTTTCTGGCATGACAAGAAAATGTGTAACATGGTAATTTTAGCCTCCCTGCAATGCCAATAGATGTTATATTCTGAGAGCAGGGAGACTTCTCCACCATCAGAATACAGTACACTGATCATGTCTTCTGCTCTCCTAGACAGGGCTGTGCTACGTAGCAAGGCTGTGTACATCTCAAAACTGGATGGACAGAAAAACAGTTTGGCATTTATCAGCTGTGTATTTAGCATTTAAAGAATATGTAAACTCAACATTTCATATTTCTGATATGTGTCTGCTGTGCCATGTACTTGTATTGAAAATGATCCTGTTTTCTTTGTATTGCTTCCTTTGTGTGAAATCCCTGGGGTTTCACAGTCTCTCTGCTTTCCTATTATAAACTGACCACACTAGGCAGGAGAACACACTGTGGTCAGTTCTCTAGCTGTGCTGGGAACTCTCCCCTCCAATGATTAGACTTCTACTGACAGCCCCCACCCCCTTCACACACACACACACTGGGATGATCACTGTACTGCTGTTTCTCTTCCCCAAGCTTATACAGCTGAGACGAGAGGGAATGTGACCACTTATAAAAAGGGGAAAACAGTGTTTATAATTTTTTTTTATATTATCTATGCATCTATGTTTTGCCTTTCATTTCTATTTTACACAAAATGAATTATTTTACAAGGTGCGGGTTTACATACACTTTAATTGCCTGGAGTTCAGGTTTAATCATAGCAACTTGCATTAAAGAAATGTCTTTCTTGTCAATTAATTTCTAGAATTAATATACACCCCTTCTAAAATAAGTAAAATAATTAAAACCAAATTTTATTTTATTGGTCTACATGTTTAGTCAATACATTTAATTGGAGTATTCAGATAGAACAGATAGAAGGTGTTACACTACCAGAAGTGTTATTCACATTGAAGTGATTGTTATGTTTTAGAATTGTTTAATTTCAAATTATTTCTAGATATCAAGCAAAACTGCTAATTATGCTGTAAGTTTTGTAAATATTTTACGATTGAGTTGTAATAGGAAGCTGTATCCAAGATGTGGTCAGGATCTATATCTCAGACAATCGGTGGTGGTTGCACAGTTCCTATGAGGCCTGTGAATACCTGCAGAAGGAACTGTCATTGTAATCTACCTCCTGCTGCTTCTTGGCTGCCAACACTTTTTTGGTTTCTCCCTTCTGAACTATGCTTGGTGGACTTATGCTTGAAACAGTGGATCAGAGGCTCAACAACAACTCCTATCAGACATGGTTTCTAGTAAGAAGCAATGCTTACTGGCAAATACAGCAACCATGCGTGCGAAAAAACTGCACTCTTTAACATGTGTCATATTCAAGAAAAGTAAAGTGTATGTATAGCCCAAACTGTGTTTTTTTTTTATTTTGAATTGAGTAGTGAAGGATTAAAACCCCGTCAGGTTATTATTGCTGTCATTGTCCCTGTTGTTCAGATTTCTTCTCTCTGTTTGTCTGATTGACCATCGTCAATGGAACAGAAAGTGATAGGAAATCCAACATTTTTGAGTTGTCACCACAAGAGGTGAGGGAAAATCTTCCAATGGGGCCACCTGTACTGGTGAAAACTGTTTAAGAGGTGAATTATAATGGTAAACTAAACAGGTTGCGCTTTACAAACCAAATATAATTACCGTATTTTTCGCTCCATAAGACGCACCTGACCATAAGACGCACCTAGGTTTTAGAGGTGAAAAACAAGAAAAAAAAATATTCTGAACCAATGGACTGCAGACACAGTACAGGGGATGACCAGAGACTGCGGACACAGTACAGGAGATGACCAGAGACTGCGGACACAGTACAGGAGATGACCAGAGACTGCAGACATAGTAGGGATGACCAGAGACTGCGGACACAGTACAGGGGATGACCAGAGACTGCGGACACAGTACAGGGGATGACCAGAGACTGCAGACACAGTACAGGGGATGACCAGAGACTGCGGACACAGTGCAGGGGATGACCAGAGACTGCGGACACGGTGCAGGGGATGACCAGAGACTGCGGACACGGTGCAGAAGATGACCAGAGACTGCGGACACGGTGCAGGGGATGACCAGAGACTGCGGACACGGTGCAGGAGATGACCAGAGACTGCGGACACGGTGCAGGAGATGACCAGAGACTGCGGACACGGTGCAGGAGATGACCAGAGACTGCGGACACGGTGCAGGAGATGACCAGAGACTGCGGACACGGTGCAGGAGATGACCAGAGACTGCGGACACGGTGCAGGAGATGACCAGAGACTGCGGGCACGGTGCAGGAGATGACCAGAGACTGCGGACACGGTGCAGGAGATGACCAGAGACTGCGGACACGGTGCAGGAGATGACCAGAGACTGCGGACACGGTGCAGGAGATGACCAGAGACTGCGGACACGGTGCAGGAGATGACCAGAGACTGCGGACACGGTGCAGGAGATGACCAGGGACTGCGGACACGGTACAGGAGATGACCAGAGACTGCGGACACGGTACAGGAGATGACCAGAGACTGCGGACACGGTGCAGGGGATGACCAGAGACTGTGGACAGTGCAGGGGATGACCAGAGACTGCGGACAGTGCAGGGAATGACCAGAGACTGCGGACAGTGCAGGGAATGACCAGAGACTGCGGACAGTGCAGGGAATGACCAGAGACTGCGGACAGTGCAGGGAATGACCAGAGACTGCGGACAGTGCAGGGAATGACCAGAGACTGCAGACAGTGCAGGGAATGACCAGAGACTGCAGACCTTTGGGGAGGGAGGGGGAGCGGGTACCTGAATTTGAGGTACTCGCTCCCACTTCCGCGGCGTTGTCTTTCCCTCTTCTTCCCGGGCCGGCTTCTGTGACAGCCGGGTGCCTACTGCGCATGTGCGAGAAGCGCTGCGCTTTGTGAATGGCCGGGCGCCTTCTGGGACCTTTCATGTGTCCCAGAAGACACCGGATCATTCACAAAGCGCAGCACATGCGCAGTGGGCACCCGGCTGTCACAGAAGCCAGCGCGGGAAGACTGTGCAGCGCTGGAGCGAGGAACAGGTAAGGCCCTGCAGGAGAGAACAGCTGAGCAGCCGGCCCGATATTCTGACATGGTGGCCGCAAAAATACCGGACCGGCCGCTTTATATTTGCTCCATAAGACGCACTGACATTTTCCCCCTTTTTTGAGGGGGAAAAAAGTGCGTCTTATGGAGCGAAAAATACGGTAGTGGCAAAAATATATTATGTGAGAAAATATAAATAAAGTCCAAATAACAATATTGTGTTGTGATGAAGGAAAATGTATTTGTGTCCAACAAATTTCAGTAGTATCCGTACATTCAAGGTATATTCAAGAGTATTGCTCCTTGAATATACGGATACTATCTACAGAGTTATTGCATCCTTCCGCAGAGTATTGCTCCTAGAGCAGAAAGCGCTTACGCTGATTTATAGTTTGATCAGCATATTGCTCTGGTGAGTTCATTCAATTTATTTGGTGGTGGATTAACACATGGTGAAATTTGTTGGACACGAATAGGTTTTCCTTCATTACAACAAATATTGTTATTTGGACTTTATTTATATTTTCTCACATTATATATTTTTGCCACAAATTATATTTGGTTTGTAAAGCGCAACCTGTTTAGTTTATATGCACCTTTTTTTAAGGTTAGGTTTGCAGCTGTGACTTTTTTGATTGGTTTATATATGTTTTTTTCACTTTTTTGTTATTTATCATTTTGTGGCGCTATCCAAATATAATTTTTGATTAAGAGGGAAATTGTCTTCCTTTTTAGAGAATTCATCTCACTTATGGTTGAGTCCCTGGGTCAAGAAGTGAAGAAATTATCCCTGAAAAGACACACTGCAGACTATAAAGCAACAGGGGTTTTAGCCCTTCCCTTACTCAATCCAAACTAAACAAAATTGGGGCTAGAAATGTATATCCGATAAAGGTATCCAATAATGTTTCAGAGCTTATGTTCACAAACTGCATAGCTGTTATCATAGCTGCATGGTACATCATTCCATTCTCCATTGGTCCATACCAGTGCACAGTCTTCCTCATCATTATGGTCATTTGGCTCCCCTTTGGTCCAGGACCTGAAGAAAAATGGCCAGAATTACATACAGGAATTTTTTCAGGACATCCTTTTTTAAAATCCAATTAGCTAAGCTCAGTACGTTTAACTGCTTTCTGCCCACAGTCTGTAGATAGTTATGCATGGTGTGAAGGGAGTATTAATCTATGTTCCCTGTTTGAGCTGACATTCACAAACTGATCTGACCAACATGACATTCACAAACTAGTCTGACCAACATGACATTCACAAACTGGTCTGACCAACATGACATTCACAAACTGATCTAACCAACATGACATTCACAAACTGGTCTGACCAACATGACATTGACAAACTGATCTGACCAACATGACATTCCCAAACTCGTCTGACCAACATGACATTCACAAACTCGTCTGACCAACATGACATTCACAAAACTGATCTGACCAACATGACATTCACAAACTGGTCTGACCAACATGACATTCACAAACTGGTCTGACCAACATGACATTCACAAACTGGTCTGACCAACATGACATTCACAAACTGGTCTGACCAACATGACATTCACAAATTCGTCTGACCAACATGACATTCACAAACTCATCTGACCAACATGAGAGTCACAAACTCGTCTGACCAATATGACATTCACAAACTCATCTGACCAACATGAGAGTCACAAACTGGTCTGACCAACATGACAGTCACTAACTGATCTGACCAACATGACATTCACAAACTCGTCTGACCAACAGCACATGTGCACAGAGTTTACTGCTAGCTGTCAGACCTGGTTGTCACTGACAGCTCCAGTCTTCACTAATAATCAGGAACCATTCAGAGTAGCTCCCAGTCATCCAATCACTTGTCAGCTATGACATAGTAATCACATGCAAGTTGGAGGTTCATGCACATATTTTTTAAGTCTTTATTTTTGCTTTTTAATTATGAAGTGTAAGGCATACATAGCAAAGTTACAGCCAGGACAACAATTCCTGGTAACTTCAGTAACACAAGGAACATTAGGATATACTACATTCACTCATACATACAACATACCGTCAACTCCTACCCATCAAATTCCACAGTGACAAGCAAATTTTCATAAGTCATGGCAATTAACCAGCCAAATGCCTGGTTTTACAGAATTTTTGGGATAGTGTTCTCCCAGCATACAGTGTTTTCAGTTTAGGTACAACATTGTTAAGCATTCAAAAGAGTAAAGTTACAGTATATAGATTTGAGACCTTCCAGTGCATCGGTATTTCTTTGCAAGCCTAGAAGACTATCCTTCAGAACATGGATCTTTGATACACATGGGAAATAAAAAAATTTACTCCTAAAAGGTGTTTTGGGTGCATTGAAGTGGAGTTGGTATTCCAGGATAGTTTGTGTTTGGAACCAGTAATGGCTCAGGTACAAACTAATCCAAAACATACAGTGTGTAAATGATTGGCTGCAAGGAGCTAACGTCTTTAATGTGCCAAACACTAACTAAATTATAACAACTCAGCATGATACAGCTCAGGGAACAACTAACCTATTTGTACTTCAGTGAGCCAAGGATCACAATGTCAGCAATGGCCTGTTGTAAATTCCTTGCTTACCAGAACACCTGATAGCCCTGTGTTTTAAAAGACTTGTGCTTCCCAGTCTGTACTGGGAAGGTGACATGTCTATTATTTTCTTAAAGGGCAACTATATAAGAGGGCTCTCATTTATTCAGGTCATGCTATGACTTGTAGCCAGGGGCGGACTGACAACTCATGGGGCCCCCGATCAATAGGGGATCATGGGGCCCCTGTGTCCTTGCTCAAACTCAAAAAAGCCTATGAAAAAGGTACCAAGGGCATCTCATGGGGCCCCCTACTGACCCCGGGCCCTCGGGCAGAGTTTCCAAATGGTCAGTCAGCCCCTGCTTGTAGCATTAAGTCACATTCAACTGAACTTATTCTGTAACGTTGTTTCACCATTTGGATGACTTACGAAACATCTTCAATATTACAGAGCAAGTTCAGTTAAAAGGAAACGAAAATGGATTTGGATCAATTTTATTTTACATTTTTAAAAGTGCAAACATATTTAAAGTGAGTTTCTTACTTAGTTAAAGTAGAAGAAGGATTTTCATGGTGCCACTATTAATCATACATTTGCAACAGTTAAAATAACAATAATTTTTATTGTATTACATTATAAAATCTTGCATAAAAACTGGATTGTTGTTGTACAATAGTTATGCCTTTGGTACTATAAACTTCCTGATGAAACCAGACCAGGCAAAACATACAGAAGAAGCAAGTACCTATGGTGATTTAGTTCAAGATTAGGGGTGGACTGACCATTTGGAAACTCGGGCACTGCCCGAGGGCCCGTGGTCAGTAGGGGGCCCCATGAGATGCCCCTGGTACCTTTTTAATAGGCTTTTTTGAGTTTGGGCAAGGGCACAGGGGCCCCATGATCCCCTATTGACCAGGGGCCCCTTGAGTTGTCAGTCCGCCCCTGTTCAAGAACATTGACTTGGAACTGTATTGTTTATTTTGCTTTGCTGTGTTCAACAACAATTCAGTTTTTATGCAAGATTTTATTATGCAATACAATAAAATGATTGTTATTTTAACTGTTGCAAATGTATGATTAGTAGTGGCACCATGCAAACCCTACTTCAACTAAGACATTTTTATGTATTTGGAATGCAGGTGCCCTTTAACCTTCCTTCTATCCAGCTTTATGTATCACACATTTTTCAATTGAAATTTCTGTACATTTTTAAATTTTGTCTACAATTATTTATGTAGAAAAAAAAAACATTTAATAAGAGATAAAGGCTTTCCAGAGCACAATGGATTTTTCTTCAGAGAGAGCATAACAGAAGCATCCTTTTAGGCATGCTATCTATAATTGAAAGGGAAAGTTATTCTTCTGATTTACTACGTTGATGTGTAAATTTTGGCTATTGAACTCTCTATACAAGCCTTTTTACAGTAGGAGGAGAAGCTGGAAAACATGTGAAAAAGAGCTGTGAGCTCCACTTACCTCCTGGATATACAGATATAGAGTATTCATACAGAATATTTAATGTTTCATTTTTTTATGTGGTCATAATAAAGTAAACAGCTATATTGATCTTTCAGGATGCCCATTAAATTTTGTAACATGACTATTAGAAGACTGGCTTCAGTGTCAGTTTATCAGAATTGTGGCAATTCTTTTTACCTGCTCATTAGTGGTAAAGATCACTCATGTGCGAAAAACAAAAAAAATGAATTAGCACACTTAAATAGAATAAAACAATGTCAAAATTGAGTTGCTCAATGCAGAAAGTATAAAGGAAAATCTAGTCTAGGCTTTACTGCACAAGTGGTAAAGCATCCAATCCCTTGGTGCTCCGCAAGCAGTGCTATGTACCACATACCTGCCATACTAGTGGACTAGGACTGGGCTGGGGAGCATGTGCCTCCTGAACCAATATTGTTAAGATATGTTGGGTTAGTGGCCCTGAGGAAAGATACTGCAACATTTAGATACTGATGTGTGGGGTCAGTGACATATGGGGAACAATATATAGCTACAAGCTCCTCATTTAGACCTGCAATCACAGCATTTTTGGGGCTTTGAGATGTCCTGTGACAGAATACAGAGATCTTTAAAAAACTGCTGAAAGATGTTAAAAATGCATGTCACAGTAAAATATGTCCTTTAGGAACACCCATCTTTCACCATGATCATCATTCAACAAGGCACCATAGTACTTTATTTTTGTCCCACAGGCCAAAGGTTCCCAGCCCTCCCCTGCTATTATGGATAGATTAACATTCTAATGTTTGTTTTTTTTTGTGTAGTAAAAAAAATGACCAGAAGCTGGTGGTCCAGTGATTGTCTATCTCTCTGTCATCACATTAAGGTGGCACTGTATTTTCCATTTGCTGTATGAAGTACCATCAGAATATTAGTACAGGCACCATGCCAGTGCTGGATTTATAAGAGACAAAAGGGGCAATTGCCTCAGGCCCCAATATCAGAGGAGGCCTCAGACTTACTTTATAAAAAAAAAATATAATAATTATAAAATAAGTTTTAATATTTAAAAAAAATTACCAAAGAGTGTGTGGGTGTCAGGATATGGAAAAGTTAAGCCTGACTTTACCAGCAAAGAAAGGGATGAAGGCTTCTTGCGGATGTTTTACATTTCACTATTTTGCCACTTGAGGTGTTTTTTTTTAACTTGACTGTGAATTTATTGCCTTTTTTACTGAGAGACAAGTGGAAGGGACAAGGGAAATGTTTGAAAAGTGTTGGAAAGTGCCAAACAACAACCCCTCCCCCACCGTGTGGGAGTGAAGTTAATGACCAGCATTGATTTATTGCAGTAAGAAACAACAGAGACACTCCTTCCCCACTTGACCCTAATTGGGTCAAGGGGTGAATCTGACACTCTGCGATCTTGAATGGGGTAAAACTCTGTTAGCAAGTTGTACTCTACTTCTGGAATTTGGGTTGAATTTGGGACAGGCGTGGTCCTGGATTGGAATTCAGCCAGAGTGACATAACAGAGTGTTGGACAATCAGAGAGTAGAGGACCTTTGTTCCTTATGAGTCTTGCAGAGTGTTGTAGTGAAATCGACCCCTAACCAGTGGGTTTTTTTCAGTGTCCTAAATCATTCGTCCAGACTTCCCATAAGTGATTTTCCATTTCTCAAACCTTTCAGCTTTTGGATCCACACACACCACCTCCTGTGCGCCTGTCAATGCTGTCAACTCAGCAAAAAGAGAGGGGACTTCCCATAATGCTTGGAACAAGAGAACCCAGCAAAAAATGTATCTACCCCTAAGTGTCTTCATCAAAACAGATAAAGTTTATCACTCATTTCAGTTCACTTTTTTATTTGTAATATTATTTAATTTCTATGGTGAGGGGCCACAAAATGGGAAATGCCCCTGTCCCCCCATGGTCTAAACCTGGCACTACACTCTCGTCTGCCTGGGTGTCTCCTCAGCTATCTTCCAGGGCATGCCAGAAATCCCAAACCGGGGTGCTTTTTTTTACCTTGACTCCTACCTCTCAAAATTGCCCTCTCAATGTGCCCTGGGTTTAGATATTCTGTAACATAGCTGAGGAGATGTGCACACAGCTTGGTGCTAACACTAACATCCTGACAACACTTTATACAGAAAGAGAAATTTCACAATTTCTAAATGAATTCTCTCTGTGATTATTATCAGTTTAAGAACAGAGTAGTTTGTAATATTCTTATACTTACTTGAAAGATGTTTCATAGTTTGTTTCATCCACCCATTTCCACAATCCTTCCTCATCAGTATCGTGCAGACCAAGCCAGAAACGTTTGTAAGAGCTAGGACTTGTTTTGCCAGTAATGAAAAGCTGAAATGAAAAGGCAACCATCAGGAATTGAAGAGTAAGCTCCCCATTTAAAGTGACCCTGTCAAAACCAAAAGAAGACAGATAAAAGAAGAGGCTATATATTTACTTTTTAGTTAGCCTGTGTGTTGGAGCTCCATTGTTTGGCTGGTCCCTGGACACTGAAAGTATTTAACAGTTCTAGGTGTGTAATATAACTGCTCATCTACCACATTCTGTGGTTCCCCACCTTGGCTTGTAGATCACTATAGGACTTATCAGCAGGGAGACCGCTGTTTGCAGTAGAGGGAGAAGATAGTCAACCCACCTGAAGCGTCGGTTACTTGCAGCAGTCAGGGAACAGCATCACAGCAGCTTTTCAACACATGGGCCCCCAGAAACATACTGTAGGTATATAACATCTTTAACAGGTACAGTATGTCTTCTTCAGTCCACTTTTATCTCTGTAGTGACAGGGTCATATTAACCTGTGAAGGTTTTTAAAGCATTACCTATGGACAGGGGCAGACTGACCATTTGGAAACTCGGGCACTGCCCGAGGGCCCAGGGTCAGTAGGGGGCCCCAATGAGATGCCCCTGGTACCTTTTTCATAGGCTTTTTTGAGTTTGGGCAAGGACACAGGGGCCCCATGATCCCCTATTGCCCGGGGGCCCCATGAGTTGTCAGTCCGCCCCTGCCTATGGATAATTTTAGGTATAATTAGCTATAATTTGTTGCTATTTCACAGGCGTGCACAATTTTAAGTCTTGACATGTCTGGTATCTATTTACTTGGTGCAACATCATCTTTTATATGTTACCAAAAATTGGGTTTTATATTGTGTTTGCGTGTACTATAATTAATTTAATTGTGTTTTTTTTCAGAAAATTTGCATATGATAAATGGCTGTATAAATATCATGCAGTTTAAATAATTGTAATAACTAACATTTTATTCTCCACTTTCAGAAATAGTTTTCTAGCAAAAAAGGAACATTTTAATATGTGAAATGTCAAAGTTGGCCTGGATGGCAAGTGGTTAAAATAACTGTAAAAATATCTATTTTAAATCTTATAGCCCACAATTGTCCCTCATTTGGAGGGACTGGCCCTTACAGTATATCAGTGCAAAAATGGCCTCTGCCCCAATCTATAACTGGCCCTCACAGCAAGGAGCACATGGACGGGCGACGCATGTCAAGCAACAAAAAAGAAAAATTCCAGCTCAACTTGCCAGCCAGCCTGCAAACAAACAGAATTAACCTGTCTAACAGTATGTGTTAAAAACAGGGGTTTAGTTAGCACACAATTGCAAACACATGCGTAAGCTTCAGAGCCTCGTCATAGCACCCCAATATTCTGTGGTTCCTAACTCTACAAATTTTAAGAGCTCCCATAGTAGAAGCACATGTATTTAATGGATAGACCAAGGGCAGGTGGACCTGAGATTTGTTTGCAGGCTGGCTGGCAAGTTGAACTGGGAATTTTTCTTTTTTGTTGTTTGCCTTACAGTATCTCACCTGTTCTTTTGCACTGTTAATTACAAGCAAGTCACTTTCTTTTCCTTGACACATTGTCCTGGCTGCTGCCCATTCAAATTTGGACTTGCTTATGTAGTAGCAGCTGTTCTCAAATTGTATCCAGTCAGCTCGACACTTTTTCTCTAGAAAAATCCAGAAACGCAACAATGACACTCAAATGATAGAAGGATCATAAAGTTTTAAAACAGTCTTAACGCTTTAGAAAATTCAGTCCAGGCATCAGACACACATTGCACCTCTTGTGATTGATGCGTTTCACTATTAGCCTGTAAAGGACCACCTGGCGGCACCTCTAGCAGCTCTGGTCAGGTTTCCCCAGAGCGCGGAGTCTAAGTCCCGGATCACTTGTTCACCAGAGCCCCTGATGGTGGGGATGGACTTGGAGTGTACCGAGACCAGGTCGCGACTACCGGGTACACCTACCAGTGGTAGAGGAGTCCGCCAGAGGCTCCCGCAGGGTGAGAGCCTGATGTGAGGAGGCCGGGAGATCCCGGTGGGATGTACGGATGGATGGATGAGCAAGTGCACAGTCAGACAAGCCAAGTCGGTAGCCGGGGAGTTGGTGCAGTACAAAGCAGCAGGCAGAGAATGGTCAGGTCACACGCCAGGTCAGTAACAGGAGGTCAGATCTATAAAGGGGCATTCAGGAGCAAGGTCAGGCAAGCCAGGGGTCAGGACAGGAGAAATCAGCAAAGTCAGGCAATCCGGATCAATAATACTCACTAACAGATTCGGAACACAGGTAACAGGGAAAGACCATTCGGCAACCAGTGACAGCACAGGGGGGATTTAAATACCGCGCCCTGCGCTGTCATTAGTGCCCGGCGTGCACCCGCGAATGCTAGTGTGCATGCACAGACTCCGTCGCCACGGCTGATCCACAAGTTTTGTCTCTTACCGATTTACAGATTAAGGGAATTGGCATGTCTTTAAAATAGAACCGAACCCACCTATTCAACTGTTTCCCAAAACCTTACATTCAAGGCATGTTTCAGTTACTGTACTGTCTACCATTATTATTGTGTTGAGTAGGGAGCCATCTATTAGGTGTTCGCTGCAATTGCACCCTTTTTTATTCTTTTCAAACAAGAACAGGAAGTGCCTTGTATTTATTCAATAAAGATTACCCACAAACAATGCAGTGCCATTTCAGCTTCCAGAAGGACACACCAGGGAAGGTCTCCTCTTTTCCCTTTGATAAACATATGCTTGGAAGTCTATTCATTGTTTGTTAAAGTTATATATATCTAGATTGTACTGTTATGTGCTTGATGTAGATTTAAAGGTAGTTATCTGCAAAACAATGCGTTCATTGTATGCATTTGTAAAAGACATGTATAAAGCATATTGTAACTCCAGTTTAAGTGATTTATGTGACTGTTTTACAGAACTATTCACAGAAGTAAATTTAGTTTTGTAATGAAACACAATGCTGCTTCTGTCAGTTTTGTTAGCTAGCTTTCAGCTAACTGTTAGTAGGACAGCATAGTTACTAGTGTGCTTATATTACCTTTCAACCGAAACTGTCAAGCCATAAAGAGGTCACCCTTTTAATGGTCTTAAATCTGAACTTTAGGAAGATATAAAACCCTGTGCTCATTAATACATGATTACTTTTTTGCGACCAGCAGGGATGAATTGGGCTTGGTACGAACTTGGTACAAATACAGTTCAGCAGTTCCCGCAGGAAGCTGTCACTTGATCGCACTCTGCCTACTCAAGCAAAAGCTCAGGGGCATTTCCCACCTCTCAGTTGCGCATACACAGAAGGGTTGCGGATGAACGTGATGGCTGCTTGGCTACATTGAATCAATGATATTGATCTAATATGACAATATTAGGTAAATGATGCTACGAGTCTCCCTGCCACTTTGTGTATGCTGGACTGGGGGGAATGCACTGGGTGCAGATGATTGGACTGGCAGCTCATCCATAGTGTAGTGTATGCATCTAAATTTGAACTGGCATTAGCCTCTTACAGTAGTGCTTATACTGGGAGAGGGGGAAGCAGCACAAGGAACCAATCATCTGTGCTGCAGAGTAATAAGAGAGATTATCTGTTCATGATTCCATTCCTTTCGTTGTCCACTCATAGGCTGGGGAAGGGACAAGACTTTTGAGAGTTACTTTTCAGCGGTAGAGAAAAAGCAGATCTCAAAACAGGGGTGAGCTATATGGAAGAATTGTGTAAATCCCTTAGGACTGAGTGGACAGAAATACATATCCTTCAGCAGGTAAAACAGCTTTCATATACAGTATATATATTTCATCTGTATTTAGCTGCCTGGCTTGAGCTCAGCTTTAACACAATGTAGAACTTCACATTAGATGTTGGTGGGATCCTCTGTTGGTCATTCTATGCACAGATGTCCTCCCGTCTCCATAGGTATAAATATGAACACTGCAGAGACCCATTTTATGCCTTCTTTTGGACTAAATAATAATAATAGGATAATGCCTTAAACAGTATCTGACCATCACCTAATGACCAGCTTTTGTCATTGTTTTATTTTCTCTGTTCAGCTCATTTCATCTCACAGGTCCTTATAAACTTAGAAAATGGCAACATAGCAACATTTTTTCTAATTGATTACTTTATGGTTTTTTTATGTTAGCTGTCTTACTTGTGAAAGTTGAATGTAGCTGGTTCATTTCTGAAGAGAGTTTGCTGACTGTAAAGGAAAAATACATTGCTAAAAATGTAAAACACACCGCCAATATAAAAATGACAGTTGCCTGTGGTCAGGCCGAGTTATATTAAATGGAATTAGTCCATCAGAATAAAGTTAATAAGAAAAAAAATTACTCATGTGGCTCAAAATGAAAGGTTCTTTTGACATACTTCCACTGACACTACTTTCTCAGTGCTTTCCCACTACCCTCTTCTTGTGCGGGACTTCAATTCACATGCTTGAGTTTACATAGAGTTACTATAGACATAATTGTACTCTTGCAGCAATGTGTATTTCTCCCACCATTGTCTACAGATGTCCTTCACTACAAAACTTTTCATACACAGCTAATGAGTTTCTTTTATTCCCTCATGTAACGGGCTTGGTGATTGGCTGCTCAGGCCTAGGCATTGCATCCTGGGAGGAAAGGGAAAGGGTCATATGCTCAGCCAACCAAAGAATTAAGCAGGCCATAGATGATACAATTTTCTTTTCTTCTACCAGAGTCGGTGTTGATGGTGGAATCACTCCTGTAGCGCTATTTTGTTAAGCCGGTAGCAGGGTGGACTGACAACTCATGGGGCCCCTGGGCAATAGGGGATCATGGTGCCCCTGTGTCCTTGTCCAAACTCCAAAAAAGCCTATGAAAAAGGTACCAGGGGCATCTCATGGGGCCCCCTACTGACCCCAGGCCCTCAGGCAGTGCCCGAGTTTCCAAATGGTCAGTCCGTCCCTGGCCGGTAGGAAGCCCACAATGATATATTCGGGAACAGCACAGTGGCTAAATGGTTAGCACTTCCACCTGGCAGTACTCAGGTCATTGATTCAAATCCCAACCATGGCACCACCTGCCTGGAGTTTGCACGCTCTCCCTGTGCCTGTGTGGGTTTCCTCCCACACTCCAAAGATATGCCGATAAGTTAATTGGCTCCTGTTGAAATTGGCCCTAGTCTGTGTATGTATGATGGGAGTTCAGGACCTTAGATTGTACGCCCTTTTAGGGTAAGGGACTGATGTACAATATATATGTAAAGTGCTGAATAAATTGATGGCGCTAAACAAGTACCTGAAATAAATAAATAAATAAATAAAATATAGACACCAGCAGCAATCGCATGCTAAAAATCCAATATGCTGGTTGTACTGAAGTTGATCAATGGATCGACTTCAGTACAACCAGCCTGACCATAGATGGATCGGATCTCAGCTGGTCCCTGCTGAACTGGATGAAATTCAATCCATCTATGGCTGATTTTACTGGGTATTTGCAATGACTCTGACAGATAAATAAACCAGTGGGAGGAGTATATAATTATTTTACCATCCACTATTGATTTTCAGTAACTACCTTGCAATAGTTGTCTTTTAAAATGCTCCTGGATATTAAATGATTATTGCCCTGTCCTGCTGAAATGGCAGGATCAAGAGACAATCCTGGAGACCACGATTCACCATAAGATAAAGGCATACAGCTGTAGGCCAATTTGCAGCTGGCTATAAAGAGTCTGATACAGGGGCGGACTGACAACTCATGGAGCCCCCGGGCAATAGGGGATCATGGGGCCCCTGTGTCCTTGTCCAAGCTCAAAAAAGCCTATGAAAAGGGTACCATGGGCATCTCATGGGGCCCCCTACTGATCCTGGGCCCTCGGGCAGTGCCTGAGTTTCCAAATGGTCAGTCCGCCCCTGGTCTGATACCTTTAGAGTGAGATGAGGGAAGAAGACGCCAGCTAGTTTTGTGCTGCTTTAGTCTATTATGTGAGCCACACAAGCCACAGTGGTGGGTCTCAGTACTACTGTAAAGATGGAAGAGAGATGTGTCTCAGCACACACAACTCTTGAGGACTTAAGCTATTGTACATGTTGGAAAACATTGTCTGATCGCTGTTATTTCACTGTAGATATGACAGCACCATAGATCTCCAGGCACCTCCCTAAACTTCCTTATGACAGGATCATTTATCAGAGGTACCGTGGGCAGGATCTGCTTATGTATCTTGCTGCCTTCCTGTGTCTATGAACACCGACAACTGGAGAGAATTCACCTGGTTCACATATGGGAATTGTTAGCCTAAGTGCCAGTTGGAGGGTTGAGACCTTGCAGAGTGGTCAAATCGTTTCCTGGCGTGCGGTGAATCACTAATGGCTATGACCAAGGGTGGACTGACAACTCATGGGGCCCCCGGGCAATAGGGGATCATGGGGCCCCTGTGTCCTTGCCCAAACTCAAAGAAGCCTATGAAAAAGGTACCAGGGGCATCTCATGGGGCCCCCTACTGACCCCTGGCCCTCGGGCAGTGCCCAAGTTTCCAAATGGTCAGTCTGCCCCTGGCTATGACCATGTTTAAAACCTGAAGACAG